TAGATTGAATGAAAATGTAATATTATGGTACCATCTAGCTAGTCTGATGATGGGACTGGAAGGTTGATGGAACCTTGGGCTGCCTACTAGTAAGCATATCGAGTATGGGTTCATTAGATTCGTCTTAACACATTCTCTTCATTTCTCCTGATGACGAGGACCTGACGATGGACTGGAAGGTGGCTGATGGACCCTGCACTGCATACTAGTAAAAATATCGAATTTGGGCTCATTACATTCGTCTTAATATCGCAATAAATTCGTTCTATGTTTTGTAATAAACTAAGAGAAAAATTCATTCATAGTTTAAAAACTAAAAACACGCTTTTATTTACTGCAGCACTAAAATGCCAAAAGTAAACAAAATATATTCTCTGTATACTTCATTAAGGCCTTAGAGTTAGCCATGTTTATTGTTAATTTTAAAATATATATATAACTGAAAAAAGTGTGGAGCGCTTCATTATAAAGTTTAAACTGAATTGTTAAGCATTATGAATCATGTAATATATTAATTGATTTCATAAATATTGCAATGAATAGCGCCCCTTGCTTTTTTACATGTATGTTAAAATAAACAATAAACATGGCTCTAACTCTAAGGCCCAAATGAAGTTAACAGAAAGCATATTTAGTTTATTGTTGGCTTTTTAGTACTGCAGTAAATAAAATAAAAGCGTGTTTTTAGTTTTTCAACTATAATTTTTTTATATGAGAATTCCATGTAACACAAGCATTTATCCAAGCAAAGCAGGGGGGGGGGGAGGGTACAAAACCACAAAAAATAAGAAAGCATACATTTTCTTTACTTGAGTCTAATGTTCCTCTAAATTTAAATTAATATTTGGTGCCGGTGTCATGCCAACCCAAGTAGTAAATGGAAACCAGATGGAAACTCTAACGAACTATTTATTTAAAGATTTAGATTTTTGAAAATGAATAATATCCCTAAATAGTTACGGGATTATTTGCCTAAATTATTCTAAATGTCTACTAATGTCTAGTTTCTACCAGCTAGCCAAATCTTCGGAAGAATAAAATAAGAACTTAATATTGTTATAAATTTTCAGGATGGACAATTGAACTTGGAACCCATTTATTGACGTTGTAGTCGCAAGTAAGAATCCCTGATTCTTAATTAATAATAATCATTGAAAATTTATAGTAAAATTATCAAAATTTCTGATTTATTTCTTTGTATTCCTATTACTACTCAACTACCTATCTGGATGCCAAGTTTAAACTTTGAACTGAAACTGGGTTAAAGTCAGTCACTGATAAATTGAAGAATACTTTAATTTTTTTTTTATTGTTTTGTAAAATTGTGTTTAAATAATGGTATCTTCCAAACAAAATTAAATATAATTCACTTTTATAATTTCATAATAATAAATGTTTAATTATCTATTATAATTATGTTATAACTGTACAAGGTGACTAATTCATAAGATGCTATGTGTCTTGTTTAAGAACCGTATGTAACACTTAGTTTGCAAATACAGAGTTTGAGTTTTTAACCGACTTCCAAAAGGAGGAGGTTCTCTATTCGCCATTATACTTATCTCCGAAAGCCGGTATCACCGAGGTTTGTTGACTGATTATGATGATTATTTTTTGTTTGAAAATTAAAATTTGGAGTCTCAGATCTATCCATATGCATGGCACCGACTCCAAATTTTAATTTACCTTTAAATGTAGTGAAGAAAGATAAATAAAGAATATACATTATTTCTTCCATTTTAGTGGTTTTGTTTTGATGTAGTCGTTTTTTGAAGTTATACTTCTTTAGCCGCGTTATGAAAAAATTATGAGAGTGAAATTTTAAGATGCGCGCGCATCACTGTAACACAAAAGTAACATAATGAAGTTAGCCGCGGGCGCGTTATGAAAAAATGATGAGAGTGAAATTTTAAGATGCGCGCGCAAGACTGTAACAGAAAAGGAACACCATGAAGTCTGCCGCTAAACCGCACATTACTCTTAAGTCTCGAAAAAAAGCTTCCAACAAAATAGTAATAGGATCTCTAAGTCGCACATGTTGGGACGCTCGTCGCCTCTGATCACTGTTTTCATATTTATAATATTTATCCACATGTTTCTAGTTTCTATATTCTTAACACGTGTTATAATGTTATACAAATGCGAAATTTATAAATGTGATAATAAATTTTATTCAGTATTGATTTAAATTGAATATTTTAATTATTTATTAAATTTTTCAAATTAAAACTGAACTTTATTGACTGCGTTGACTATCCTTTTCCAATCCTTTTATTATCTTATTGTAATTAATTGTCTGCATGCAATTAAAAACTATTTTTTAATAATTCCAAAAAGAAGTATAACTTCTCACGCGCGTACTTAAGTACACGCACCCATATTTTTTTTGGTAAAAATGTTTTTTACGTTAATATCTAAATAACCGCCTTAGGTGTGTTCATGAAATTTATTTATTCAGCAAAAATTCACATGCAAAATTACATTATAACTGACTAACTGCAACGCAGTTTGTCGGCAGAGTTCCCGTAGAAATATTATCATATTTAAAATCATCATACTATAATATAATGCATGTTAACTTTCTATAACAGAGAAACAAAAATAATAAGAGAAAAGAGAAAGCAATTAAACATTTTTTTCTGTTCTTCTTAATATCCCTTTGGTAGGTACTATATTTTAACGTACTTTAATAACCTTCTATAATAACTTTCCGTAGCGCAATGCAAATGAATGAACATTTTCAACATTCACACCAAATTAGCTTAGCCGAGCCCCAAAGTAAGCTACTAGGCTTGTGTTATGGGATACTAGGGTAACAGATAGAATACATATACTCTAGTCTAAGTCTCGATATATGAGCCAAATTTTACATGTTTATGTGAAATAGTTTTTGAGATATGAGGGGGTCAAAAGAGGCTCCAAATGATCGGTCATTTCTGTTAGCTTGAACTTGGCTAGACGCTACCGCGTATGTAGATCCCACCAAAAATATTTTAATGTAAAATATTGCCAAGACGAGACCATATAACTTGCGCTGCCAAAAAGTTATCATATTTCATGTATAGCCAAGCTTCTAACTCTATACGCTCTAATTCTAAAAGGCTTAATTTCACAAACTCTACACCTTAGTCACAATATGCGGCTTGGCCGCTTGCGCTTCGCTTGGCTCATCTTGTCGTCTTGGCGGGAGCACAACCGTACCGCAGACGAAGGCGAACCGAATAATTATCAACATTTACTACAAGTACAGAGAAAACTCTGAAAACTGGATATTTGTAAACATATCCTTTTTTTTAAACATCATCGAGGTAAGGCAACGATATGCGCGGTCATAAGAGTATGAGTGAATACTATTTATTTATTATATTTTTTTAAAACCATTCCGAATTTGTACAGAAGAGAAAAATCTGAAAGCTTTATATTTTTAATGAACTCACAAAAATAGAGTATTGCAAGGATCGGAGGTCCAAATTTTGAAGTGAGTTTACCGCGTCATGTAGATATCATATGAAAAGGCTTCATTATAAAAAGCTAAGACAGTTTTTTAATTTCATAATTTCTGAAAAAAAAAGTTAAAAATATATAATACTTTGCATGGTACTCTCGATTAGCGAGTATGACTTGCACTTGTCCGTTTTTTTTATAAAATGCACACCTGAAAACAGTACACTACTTTTTTGGACTGATGTGTAAAAAACAAACATCCAACAAAACTGTTAATTTGAACCTTTATCTTCATCAAAAAAATTGAGCATGTTTGTTGTATAGAAAGGTAAATTTTCACCAAATTTAGTTTAAATCTAAAGAAAATATAACTAGAAAAAATTCCACGCGGACCAGGCAGCAGACGGGACTCGAACCCGCACCCTTCGCAATCCGGGCGAATGCACTGACCAATTATGCTACCGCGGCCCTCACGGACCGCGTCGAAATCCTTCTAGCCATTCTTAAGCTGCTAGGCAGCGCCATCTCTTCGCATTATAGGTAACCCACAATGGCAAATGAATACTTTTACAAGTATTAAACATTTGAAAGAAGAAATAGCAATTATAGTTATAATTTTTATTATAAACATCAAGCAGTTACATGCTTTAAAATAATAAAAATTATAAATTTAGTTTACCAAAAATGTTTTTTTGTGTGAGATAATAATAAAAAACCAAAAAGTCGGTCATTTTGACTATTCGCAGAATTTTCATTAAAAAAAAAAGGTTATGCGGAAAAGTTGTACATCCTACTTAAGTTGTATGTTTTAGTTACCTGAGATTTTGCCATTGAAATTTTTCCTGACCTCAAATAGCCCGTAAATTATTTTTCCTCTGTTTTATGTGTTCTCTTCCTATTGAAATGGGTTTCATCCTGTTCTGTTTTTTTTTGTTCTCAAAAATTATGGCAGCTGGCCGATGTAGTTACGTGAAACAATATCTACTGTTATTATTTTTGTAACCGATAATAAATAAAATAATAATATCGTTTGTATATAGGTATCATACATATGTATAGATCTTTACATGATATATGGCAACTACTTCTGGAAATAAAAAGTAAGGTACCTAGCTTTTATAAAAATAATGTAATCTAAAACGCCAATGCAAAAAATAACACAACAAATTTTATAAGTGTGCATAAAATAGTTCAAAAAATTATTGATTAAGCCAGAGCGTAACAACAGTTACGCATATCCCCTTTCAAATGAAGGGTATACTATTGAGTACTAGTTAGTTACACAGTGTTTTGTCACTATTATTCGATTTACAAATGTCATTTGGGTAGTGTGACCAAAACATTGCGAATCTAGTAAAGCTTAAAGGGGATAAACTTTACGGAGCCTAATTTATTTATCATTTCGAAATCAAGTAACTGTCCAAACCAAGAACACCGGTATCGAACCAGCCAAACCATTTTTCAGGTTATAATGATAAACAATAAGAACTTTGCAACGCTACACTCGATCAAAACTTTGTTCTATAGGTCGTATGAAATGTTATGCTTATACTTACGCTGTAAGTTCATGCTGGGTGGGAATATATGATGGTTTCTCATGGCTGCATCCTGCGGCCGAGCGCACTGTGGCGGTGGCGGCTGGTAACGCATGCCCTGGTAGCGGTACGCGGCTTGCGACATCTGGCCGCATGACGCCAGCTCGCCCCACGACAGCTCTCCGCCGCCCGAGCCCAAGCAGCCGCTGTCGAAGCCGCCGCCGGCCCCGCTCAAGTACCCGTACTCCATGCCTACACAGCTCACAACCCCGCTAACATGAGCTCCGCCAAGCGAGGCCCGCGCCGCGCGGGGCGCGTGCTTCCTCTGTCTCCGCTGGCGCAAAGGCTCACAGCATAATTGGATGAGCCGCGCTATATCGAATTATGCCGATCACAGACGATATCGGATCCCTGCTCTAGTGTTTCCCGGCGTGAGGACCGCGCTCTCGCCCCACTCGAAATCGAATGATAAGCCTAATTCAATAAGGGTGAGCCTCGAGGACGGGGCGGGGCCGCACCCCGGGCCGCCCAATGGCCGCGGCGGGCGCGCGGGGCGCTCACCCCATTGGACGGCCCGCGCCCTCACCGCTCCCCTCGCGAGGGGGTGCGTGTCACGACACTTGTCTACTTTTCTTTTCGCCGACAGTTCCTTTGTCATTGAGGAAAATAAAAAAGTTGTAATTAACGATCCAGGTACCCACTTAATGAATGGCTATAGGTAGTTAGTTAAGTTCACTCGTCTCTTAATATGACGCTATCCTTATAGCTATTAAGGAAACTAATTAAAGTTATTCTTTTCATTAAACACATTAGAATTTAAAGGTAACAAAAACTTCAAAAGATATAAGATTCATATCATAGAGTGTTATTCAAGGTATTTGAATATTTTTATTATATGTACAGTTATATTGACTATGGATGTAGTTAAGTACTTCCTTACCCCATTCCCTAATGGTAGTTTCCAAGTATTATAATAAAAATATTTTTTACCGGTTCATATTGGATAATATATCTATTTATATTGTACTAATTATAAATGCCCTACTCTATTATATACTCGTAATAATGTCCTCAGTGCTGTAGCTGTTTGTTTATTTGTTTGCCTGTAGGTACAAATGAGAACAAACCATATGACAAAACCCAGCCGAGCCGAGCCCGAGCCCAGTGAATAAGTAGGTAAGTGGATGTTAACGAATGCAAATGCAGACATTACCAAAAACGGCTTTATAACACGATTCCTGCAGGATTATTTTCTGGTTACCCATTTGATAACATAAAATTGATTAGATATGTTGCTTATCCATACTAATATTATAAATGCGAAAGTGGATGAAAAGGGGAATGAAAATTTGTATGGGAGACCAATTTTTTTAAGCAGACGTCGTCGTAAGTCGTATTTGTCTTCCATAACAGCAGACTGAAAACACCAACTTCTCGAACAATCAATTTCACGCCAACTATAATTTAAGCATTAATATTAATATAATATAAATAAATAAAATACAGATAGGTATGTTTGTTTGATGTCTATTTATATTTTTTTTGAAAAGAAGCTTTGAAAATACTTTTTACTAGGTAAAATAATATATCCAAAGCAAGGCACTGAACTATAATTAGTAAACCACACATAAAAACACAACATAAAAATGTTTTACAAAAATATATATAATAGTAAATTATAAAACAAGTGAAAAAATTATAAGTTCCAAGGACTTTGGATCCCGAAAGGTGTTCATTCGATCCCGAAAATGGTTCTAGGTTAGAATCCTGACCGTAATGAGAGATAAAAAAAACCGAAATGAAATTGTAACGCGAAGTATGTAATCTTCGCCTTTGACGACTGATTGCTAAAGATATAAGCATATTTAGCTTAGCAGCAAACGAAGCACTCTTAGACTTTTTTTTTTATGGATAAGTCCGACAAGTGACTCTACCCCACCTGATGTTAAGTGTCGGTGAAGTCCAGACGCGAAGATAGCTGATACAGCAGTTCTACCTGCCACACCAGCCATCCTCACCCTGCCGGCCTGCATGTTGCTTCTTCACGCCTCTTTTAAAGGATCCCAGGTTGTTAGAGGGAGGGAACACGTGAGCGGGCAGAGCATTCCATTTACGGATAGTGCGACAAAGAAATGAGTCACCAAATTTCTTTGTACGCGTTGGAATTGTGGCTTATGTTATTATGAGTAAACAAGTCTTGTAAAAGTTTACCTCGGTCCTTAAATCCAACTTGATCCAAATTAATTACTACTTTTCTGTTGAGATTGAGACAATGTCATTAAGAATAACTACCTATGTTATTAACTGTATAATGTGGTGGCGGCATTATAAAGTATAATATTCAGCTTTTGATCTTCTGTTCAGCTTTTGATCAGACTCTTAGGCCCGTATTATAGAAAGATTCTCAGCGATTGATCTAGTCTTGAGTATAGTTAGAAAGGGATGTCGCTATAAACAGCACTTAGCGATTTCTAACTGTACTCAAGTAAAGACCAACACTTAGTTGTCATTCTGTAATATTACAGAATGACACGTGGGATGAATGAATGATGGAAGGGATGTCGCTATGTGCTATAAATAGCGACATCCCTTTCTAACTATGCTCAAGACTAGATCAATCACTGAGAATCTTTCTATAATACGGGCCTTAAAGTACTGGATTTTATCAGTCAGTGTTTTTTAATTAACTAAAGATTACAGTTTAATACCAAATCATTAAACAAGAGGTTTTTTTATTCATGTAAACTTATGTATTTAAAATGAAACAATATTAGAATTAATGCTAATTTCATCAGAGACTAAAACAACATCAGGCCTGGTTTTCTTCATTGTGAAATAAGTAGGTACTAGGTACTTTTTAATATTTCTTTTTAATGTTATTCCTGGAGTTAAATTAAAAGACCAATCAATCAAATCAAATCAAAATAATTTTATTTGACACAGTAGGCTTAAAATAGGATTTTCAATTTACATGCAATTATATAAAGGAATATCTATAACAATAGAAAAGAAAAATGTATTATGTAAAACAAAAAAGAGGTAAAATAATGCAAACTTGGTAGAAAGTGCCTGCCTGCGCCAAATATGAAAAAGCAATTTGTCATTGTGTGAATTTATTAAATCAACTTGTGTCCTTTCATTATGTACGAATTTTCTGGACAAAAATTATGTATTTATTTACTGATCGCATTCGACTGATATCTTGAAACAAAAATATATATCAATTGACATTTGTATGCGGCTGCTAATGCTCTCTTTCATTTTAACACGACTGCCAAAAAAGAGTTTAATATTTTCAGAGTTCGTGTAGGTAAGTATGTTATTTAAAGATGAAATTTTACCAATTTCCATCTTAATTTTATTTTTGAGTTGCTCCGTATAATATTTTTATAAAGTTAAACGATAACTTCTTTGTCATAAAAAGTTTCTCTCCATCTTAACTAAGACCACAACGGGGCAGAGTAAATAAATTCCATCCCATATACTCCGGTCAAACTTCGTGTGAATATGAACGTTAAAGGACCACAATTGCGTTAACAGTAATTACTATAAATTTTCGTTTCACAAGAATACATATTCGCAGTATTTCGTAGAATAAAGGGGCACACACACGTGAGCGCAGCAGGGAGCGAATGCAACAGCTTCTGACACAAGGGTATGACTACACGACGCAGGGTTGATGGGTGCTCCATGAGAAAATAACGCGTATAATATAATATTTGCAATATTGACATTGGTGCGACGCAAGCCGCGACGCACGTCGCTGCTCCCGCGGGACGAAGCTCGCTCGCTGTCGCAAACGCGGCTTCATTTATTATTTAATTTCATTACGATGTGCTTTTTTCTCATATTTATTAAAAACCGAAACATAGCTTGGTAATTATTCCTAGCTATAAATATGACGCATTTACATATCTTTTATATTAGTTCGGAGTATATTTATATATACCTACTAAGACATCCTACCAAAGTCATTGATGGTGTCCATGAACCTTATATTTTATAGAAAAATGCAAAAATGACTTCATTGTTTCAACATCAAGTATTTTATTTACGGTCCTGCATTCTGGCCACGCAAAAGTAGCAGACATTAAGAGCCGGTTGTGCGAATGTCTCAGAATGAAAAACAAGGCAACTCCGCGGTAAAATATGTGATCACTTAGGGACCTGCAATCAAACAACGACTGGCACTCTCACTGGCGACCAATTTACTTTTTTGCTACTTACAACTTTTGCAGGTTTCAGGAAGATCAACATCAACTTTTTGCTAATGATAACAATTTCAATGTTTGTACCTCTTACATCACCGCTTCAAAAACGTCAAGAGCTAACGACAAAATCTCACTCGTTATGCTTTCTTACGTCATATATACCTCATTAAACTCTCACAAAACCTAAATAATCCAATAGAGTATATGATACTATTTACTAGTAGTTTTGCGTCCAGTAACGATCTCAAAAACGTTGAAAAAAAAAGATAAATTTAAAAATCAAAATACCCGACTGCTTTAATATTACTTCAAATAATAACTGAAAAGCAAAAAAACAAGACTAGTAGCCTATAATTCTGTTAAGTAAGGAACAAAGCTACTTTAACAGTCGGGACCTATTAGATATTCAAGAATGGATAAAATTTTACAATTATATTTTCCAGTTCTTCGTCTTCATTGATATCACTATCATATGTTGAACCATTGAGACAATCAGCTTTTCTGCAACCACATCGCGGACCACAACCATTTTTGCTGTTGCTGAATATGTGTTGAGCAATTCCTCTGGAACTGGTGCCTCAAAATGCCCATGCAAAGTGGCTGTATTTAACATGTTGTTAGGCCCATTATACAATTTTTTCTACGTTTAATATTTTATAATATATTATGGGGATGTAAACTACTAAATAAAACTATAAAATCATGAGTATTCCCTCGATGTTCCTGTAGGAATTGGTTGAAAAAGAAGGTAATGCATTGTTGGCCATTACTTTTCTTGTACTCTGCAAAATCCATCAAGGAAAATATTGTTTTTATAAAAAAAACATTGTACTATATTCCCAACTACATAGTAATTTTAGATATGTTTACATATAGTTATATTTTTTATTAAATAAGAAAATACTAGAATTTAAGCCACGCGGACCAGGCAGCAGACGGTACTCGAACCCGAATTATAATGGCTAGTGAATGTATTACTTTTTTATAAGAATCGCGAAAAAGTAGCACCTAGCTATTTTTTTGTATCATATAAAGATGCAGCTACAGACTCTATCAAATATAAACAGAATGCAACTGATTAATATTCTACAATATTTATATGCTGTGTTTTCATGCATACCAATAATTTAAGCCCATTAAAAAGTGATTTATTAAATGTTTTACAGTTTGACTCAAAATCAAAATCACACAATATTTAATATAATGAAATATTACTCACGTGTTGTGAAATTCGTATGTGCATA